TGTATCATTTTTGCCATCAAATGGGATTTGCAATTTCCCCGAGGTAAAGGAAAATTGGATATTATCCTGAAATAAGATTACTACAGCCCCCACCGGGTGGCACAGGTCCCCTGTCCACAGTGTCACGGTCAGAACTCCAAGGCAAGCTCTCTTCCTTGCAGCTCTTCCTTCCTGGAGAACGGACTCCATACTAGGCTGATGAGTTCTATACCCACACTGGCTGTGCCAGAATGCCCTGTCTCGTTTTACCAGAGAGTCTGCCTGTGATGGTGAGTTTGTTGTCAACTTGACACAAACTAGAGTCACATAGGATGGCAGTTTCACGGAGTGTCTGTCTCCACCCCTCTCTTCTATACACCCCTGTGGCCTGGGAATCACAGAGCGGTGTCATTCAAGAAGAGCTGCGACTGCTTCCTTCCATGTGAGTCCCCTCACTTCTCCGAACATTCTTCTCTCTACTGCTCAGGATGGTGAGTGAGGAGCTCTCAGAGGCTCCATGCTGTGTCCAAAGAAGACTCATGACAGAGGTACTTCTTGGTCGCGCTTTGCTCAGACTTGGGGTCTCCTCTTGTCCAGGAGGAAACTTGTGCTACTGTGTGTCCACGCCTCAGAGCCCTGTGCAGTTGGGGACCCCCACACTGCTGATCAAGCTCTGCTCCCCCTGGCATGGGTATCTGTGCCTGTGTCCTGCCTTCCACGGGAACTGTTAGTCATTGTCCCCGTGTGTCCTCTTCATTCTGCTCAGTTCCCTCCGCTCAGTGGCTAGAAGGCCTTGTCATCCGCTGTGAGTGGAGTTTAGCTGAGGTTCTCTGTGTGTCTCTCTGGTATGGGCTCCTGCCACCAGGGTCTTGAGGACACATTTCCTTTTTCATCTTGATTAATGGGAATCCAAACAGGTTTTTCTTAATACTCACTTCCAAAGCCAAGGGCCATGTCCTTCCTTAGAGTCACTAGTCTCTTCTGAAGCAGGACGGGGCTGGGCCTTAGACAGAGATGGGCTCTTCTGGTTGATTTTGTCCAGGAAGAGAATTTTCTCAGAGAAAAGCCTGAGGAAGAGCGACAGTTGCTTCTGTTGAGCCAGCAAAGGCCGCCCCAGCTTCATGGGGCCAATGGCTACCCACGACCAGTGACAGAGACAAATTCTCCCCCCTGAAGCGTTGGCAGAGGGGAAATAAACGAATGATATTCTTAAAAGCAGAAAACAAATGTGGTTATTATTTCAGAGTAATTCCATGACTTCAGGCACAAACAAAGAAATGAAATATATTTAGGATGCAGCATGTCCCAGAGGTGTTGGCTTCTGGACGAAGGTGCGTGAGGCCACAGAACAAGATGAGCCCTCACTGCAAGGAGCCAGCATGTAGGAGCTCTGAGGAGATGAAACCATGATAGTTACCCCAGGTTTGAGGGAGCACAAAGATTAGATTGGATCTTGGGCAATGTCCTGTCTCCATTTGGCAGGCACCTGGCCAGGAGTGAGAAGGAACCAAATCCTGCACCCCTTCCCACACACATGTTGTTGTGGAGTTGACTGGTAAGCAGGCTGAGCTGGGTAAACAAAGAGGGACAGAGGCAGAGGCAGAACCCTGAAGCAGGGATGGATGGATATGTGTTAGGGCAACAATGGGTCACTATCCTGAGAGCTGAGATACTGGTTTTTCTGTGGAGCAACACAGACGACCCTCAAATCTAGTCCTTCATCCCTGAAAGATGGCATGCACGATCACACCACTCAAAGCCCATTCTACCCTACCCTACCTGCCTTTCCCAGTAGCTGCTCAACCCTTGACTGACCTTGCTGGGGAATAGCCAGTCAGCTCAGACAGGTAGGAGGGTAGAACCTAGCGATGACCCGGCCAAGTGAAGGACAGAAGCCCATGTCTTCCTGTCAGGTGAAATCCTGGATTCCCCCAGGATCTGGGGTCTCTCCATGCTAGGGACAGTTTTGTGAGAAACAAGCCCTGTATGTCTACCCACTTTTCAAGCTGAGGGGCAGCTCATGACAAGACCTCCATGTGCTTTCCATCTAGATGTCAAGTGTCTAACAGGAGGCAGGGAAGACTCAGACATGGCAGGGAAAGGGGAGCAAAACTTTCTCTGGGTGACAGTAGCTATCACCTTAGGTCATTTTACCTCAGCTATCTCCTACTTTCAAGGGACACCTCTGATCACCATCTTGGTGTTCAGTGAGGTGGGAAACACCACAGGGACCCTTTCAGGACTCCAGATCAGAAAGTGTTTTGCATTTTCAGTGACGGTGAAGATGAGCACACTTGCATACACACTCTGACACATAGTCTATGCCAGCCCCAAGTACCTGCATTCTGATGCTGGTGTTCTGCCACCATCACCAATGCTCACACACTCACCTGACTTCTCCCCACCACCTTTTCCCACTGGCTCTGGGTGCTGGAACTCTGGGCTTATCCACAGAGTAGCACCTCCTGGTGTCAGAATCCCACCAGGCTACATCTCTGAGCACAAGCACTGGCTCATGAACTTCCCACTGCATGGGTCCATGGCTTCACAGGTGTGCCTACCTGCCATAATGTGGGGCAAAACTCAACCGATCCCCAGAACGTGATACTGGAGATAAGGCTCAGAGCATTTTGTCCTGGGTCACTGTCAAGGGTACGGTTCTGAGAGGCAGGAACTTGATATAGGCATGGATGCTCAGAAGGTCCCCAAAGGGGAGAAGGAAGGTGATGTCATGCCTGGGCTGTGGTTTCCAACACTGAAGCATGCTCTTGGTCCAAAAGCCTCCCCAAAGTCCTGTCATTCCTCTACTGGGTAAACTGAGGTTCAGGGAGAAAGCATGACTTCCCAGATCCTCCATGGAAAATACAATCAAGTGGCATCATTTGATTGGCTGAATGGCTCGGCTACTATGTATCTATCTACCCTGCAGAGGCCTGGTAGGAGGTATGAAAGCCCTGCCCACTGGACAGCTGACCTGGCTGCCATGGTAGCCAGGCCCAGAGGAATCCTGATGTCTGATGGCTTTTGAAACTGGAGCAGAGCTGTCCTGGATTGGGCTTGCATCTGCAGAGAGGGGAGATTCTTGTCCCTGAATTCTCTTCTGTCAGGTGGCATCTGGGCGTGTACAGAACCTTATAGAGGTGTTCACTCAAATGTGGAGGAGCCGCTGTCAACCCCCAGATACCTTGAGGGCATTGTGAAGTGGGAAGGAAAGCACCCAGGGTGATTCTACGGGTGGGAGGGGAAACAAAGGATACTGACTGACCACAGGGCTCAGGTGCCAGCAGCAAGGCTGGCTCTCTCCCCAGAGATAACAAAAGCCCGTATATGCCATGCCCTTACTCAGGAGAAGCCCAATTCAGTGTCTCTGGGCCAGGGATAGATTTCCAGTCCTTAACAGACTCTGGAGCGCTTGCTTGCCCAGGAAGTTTCCTGAGTGGAATATTTCCACAGGCCTCTATTGGCTCCTCACCCAAAGAAAACTCCTCATGCCCTCCGGTGGCCAGTTTTGGGAGGAAGGGCTGCTTGTTACACAGCGCAAACCGGCCCCAGTTGTGCTGGAGAGGGAGCTGATCTTCCTCTCAGCGCCGGACTCCTGTATCTCTCCTATGATGAGTCCTTAGGGCAGTGGTGTGTGCCAACTTATCACAACTGAAACATTCCATCCTGGGGGAAGCTCTTTAAGACTCAGGAAGTACAATCCACAAGTCTAAAAAAAAACATCCTTTAAGCTTATCGGTCGCAAAACCTCCCTCCTGAAGGCTGTGTAAGCCATAAAGGTGCTGAGAAGAGACTCGTCTTTTGAGTTGTCTGCAAGTCACGCAGGGAGCTCCCTCTTCATGAGTTGTCACCCATGCTGGGTGGGTTTTCGGTGATGTAACCGCCTTGGAATTCACTATGCACCTGTCAGTAACCCCTCTCCCATCTCCTGCAACTCCAGAAAACTCATTGATACAGCACGTAGGACTTTGGTAGTTCTTGCTTTAGTCTATTGCCAGTTCCCTATTTGGGGTGAAAAGACATCTCCCTGAGAATAATGCCATACATGTGTTTAGCGGATGGAGGAGGGGACCCTGGAATTGGTCCCACTGTCTCAGACTGACTATGTTCTGACTGTCATACTCCAGGGTAGCTTACCACATTATACCATTGAAGAGGAGCCAGAGGGTGCCCTAGCCTAGGCTGATTCTTCCTGGCTTGGGCATTCAGACTTCACATGAGAAAGGGCAGGGCGTGGTTGGGGCCTTAGTAGGCTAACGCAAGCTGCCTTGTACTATTTCCTCAACCCCAGCACAAGCCAGATCCCTAAAGGCAGAATGGTTTTGTCTACCTACCTCTGTGGCTCTGAAGATCGATGAGAGTCTCTTTGGAACACAGCACAGAATATCGGAGCACCATATCCCATCCAACCGCCACAGCTATTGAGGGTTGGGATTTGTCACAGGGAGCTGGCAAGTGGCATTGCGTGATGACTCTAGGCCTCATCTCTAAGGACTGCTTTTTGGAGCCTGGAACAGATTTCTGTGAAAAGGGAGTCCTTTGGGGAACAGGACTCCCCTGTGTCCTGGCCATTATGGCCCACAGGAGCTGGGAGACAGGCAGATACATATGGCAGTTTATCTTCCTTCAGGTCACCTGGGATGTTTCTGGCCCACAAGGATGAAGTAAAGCAGATGATTATGTGTTTTCAACAAGCAGAGAACCTTCTGGGTGTGTCTGGGAGGTTCAAGGATTCATCCTATGGGTATGGAGTATAGCTGAGCAGGGCTATCATATGGTATAGAAACCCTGGATACAACCTCTGAATCAGGGATGGCTTCAGAGCCCACGGCGCAAGCCCTGGAAATTCTTGGCACTCAACTCCCAGAGAGTGCAGCAAGCAGGAGTTGGTGACAGCGTCAGCCTCAGATGCGGTGATCAGGAAGGACCCAGGGCATGGTGCCCACCTACTGTCCCCACCAGCCACACAGACTATTCCCCTCTCCCAGGACACCACGGCCAGGGAACAAAAGCCATGCTTATCAAAGGACTTTTTTTCTTTATTTTCATAATTTAGCTGAATCAACACAAAATCGGATACCGTAAAACAAGGGGAAAATACGCTGCAACATCTTAAATCTCCCGGTCTCTGCCCTCGGATGGAGGTGTCTATGCTAGCTTGCCAAAGAAACGGTTGAGGGGAGGCGGAATGTATGTTGAGGTTCAGAGATGAGATGAGACCTCCTGCCCTGTTTGACCCCCCGGAGACATAGGCCACCGGAGCCTGGCACCATGCAGACAGTGGCCTTGCCTGGCCACCTTCTTTGACGAGAATCCCTCATCTCAGCCTCGTCGCTCTGCCTAGGATGCTCATCCCTCGGCATGAATGAAGGGAAGACACGTGGATACTGGAATGCGTCTCACAGAAATGGGCTTTCATTCCTATCTTTAGCCTATGGTTGCTGGAACGGCATCTATATACTGGAGTTAAATACATTTTTTTTTTTTGCTTTTTCCTTTAGTAGCATATTACTAGCATGATAGTCATGTTAATTGGACGTGTAGGTAGTATACTTTTAGAAGAACTCAGGAAAATGAATGGGGACTGTGGCTGTCCCTTATCCGCTGGCCTCTGGCACCACAGTGTATGTAGGGCAACCAAGGAAACTGACTCTTCCCCAGTTCCTCCGCCCCCCTCCAGCCCTGCTGTCTCAGTCTCCTGGTGTGGAGACCGAGGAACTCTGAGAACCAAGGGGGGCATTTACTGGGGAAGGGCAAGTTGGCCGAACATGGACTCAAGATCTATGGGATGGTAAAAGGGGGTTAAGAGAGAGAGAGGGACCTAAATCCATCAGAGGAGGCATGACCAAAGTATTGTACACACAATGTTTACCAACAGACTCACAGGGGGTTGTGAGCTACCAGACCAAACCAAAGCAAAGAGAGACATAGCTTCCTAGCATGGGCAAGGTCCTCTGTACCTCACCCACTGCTTGGCCCCTCCATGCCTGCATTGAGGTCCTCCATGGCCACCTCGGAGTCTCAGGGGGGCCTGGCCACAACTCTTGGGATGGTCAGACCTGCCGTCAAATGTTAAATAGGATTTTCTACAAATATACAACATATAAAAACTGTTAAATATATAACTTTAGGCTTTTGCAAAATACATTTAATGATCTCTTTCAAACAGGGTTACTTCAGTTTTCTTTAATTTGCTTTCTGGAGCTAAATGGTGTATCAGATGAGATAGCAGTCACGGGAGACCCAGCATGCTCTTGGCAAATGGTGGATTATCCAACTATCAAAAATGGAGCTGTGGAAGAGGCATGTCTAACTGGTTAAAACAGAAAGTGATTTTAGTACGACAGAGTTGGTCTAAGCACAGGGGCAGAGGGTCTGTGTCCGGGGCCCTTTGCTGTCCGCTGGGGGCCGTCTCCGGCCACGCCCCGGCTGCGTCCTGCAGGTGCCCCACAGTGGTGTCCTTCTGGGCAAAGCCATCCTCCTAGAGCACGCTGCAGTGTTCGTGGGGCGGGGGTCTTGGCCGCGGATGGCCTCTCCATGCTGCCTGGGCCACCAGCATGTCTGCCACTGTGCCCTCCCCCGCCCCACAATCAAACCCGGGAACTCTTGGCAGCAGGGATGCGTCCACGTTAAAATAGATTTGCTCTTTGGTCTATTGAGAATACTGAAAGTATAAGAAAATAAAAGTGATTCAGACAGTCTGGGACACAGGAAGTGGTGGCTTCTGCACCCGACAGTCCCCGGACCTTGCGTTGTGGCTCAGCTGGCTGGGCTGCACCCTCCTTGTTCTTGTCCTCCAACTCCAGGGAGCAAGTGGCTATGGAGGGTGGGTGCAGCCAGGCTCCACACACCAGGTATTGCTGATTCCTGGCACCACCCCTGACCTGTGGGTCTGAGTCCCGGCCTCCTGGGTTCAGCTGGACAGACTTGAGCTCAGAGCTACGAGGAATTGGGCTGTCCTGGTTAGGCCTCTGGGAAACTGTGGGTATGTGGAGTACAGGCGGTGTCCATACGGGATGGAGGACTGTGGCTGAGGTGTAGAATCTCCAGGGAGCCACGGCCACTCCCAGGGGCACCGCAGGGGCTGCGACTGTCAGGAGACCTGAAGAGCAAAGACACAGCAGTCAGCCTTATACTGAAAGCACCCAGTCATGTTTCTGGCACAGTCCCTGGCACATATACCTCTCCTCTTGCCCATCATGGGCAAGTTTATCATCTTCCGGAAGCTGACTAAGATTGCAGACCTGAATGATGGTGCGGGGAGGGCAGATGGGGGAGAGGGGTCACTCTGCCTAAGATTATGCCCCAGGAGCACCATCCTGTTAGTGTTCCAGGGGAGGCTGCCCTCTGCTGGGGACCCAGAGGAACCTCTGTAAGCTCCCCAGCTGGTCTAGGTCCACTTGGTCTCCTAAGAGTGCATGGCACCAATCTGCAAACTTAGCATTTACCCCATGCTGGCCCAGGGGGCATGCATTTCCCCTCTGGACCCTTTAACAGATGCCAGGAGGAGAGGAGGCACACCCTTCCCCCACCTTTCAGCAACCAGACCAAGACAACAGACAATAAAACATCTCCAGGAGTCCTACAGTGACAGAAGGGGGAGGTGAAAGGCTGGTATCAGCCATGGGAGAGGCTTGTCCCCCAGGAAGAGAGCTCACACAATTCTGACAACTTAGCAGAACACTTTGGAGGAGAGACTTGAGCTGAGACAAGTATGGGCCAACAATGGGCGGGACCACACTTTGACCAAGACTCTTGAGTTACACATACACCTCCTACCCTCTGCGCCTGAATTTCTTCAGTATCCCACAGACGCAGGGACCACTGGACATCTGATTCCTCCTCCCACTGTGTCCGAGTGGAATAAATCTGCTTTCTCTGCTCTTCACCAAGGCTGGTCTCTGTTGAATTAGGATGGATGACGGGCCTTGCTTGTCGGGGCTGTCAGCACTCAAGCTATGAAGTCTAACACCCCTACTAACAACCCCACTTCTGTCACTCTGAGGAAGTGCCCTGGGACTGATTCCAGAACATGGGATTGGTATATATACATAGAGTGAGGTCCAGCTGTTGAGTGGCCTCTCCAGGCCACACGCCATGTAGGGGGGCTTCAGGGAGACCATGGATTGTTGGTGGCAGCCACACCCCATAGACTGGGCAAGTTTATAGGTGTAGCAGCTTCTTTGTATCCTGTATACTTACCAAACACACAGGGACAACTGCGTCTGAAAAGCTCAGATTGTTTTTATCAATATCCCTCAACAGTGCATGCTAAGAACAGCTCACACAGCATTCACACCATAGTTAGCAGATGTTTGGTGCGGGAGAATTGTCTGTATTCTGTCAATCATGTTTTAAATAAATGCTGATTGACCAGGGAGGAAGTATAGGCGGGTCAACGAGAAAGGAAGTAGAGGCAGGGTGATGAGAACGGAATTCTAGGAAGGAGGAGGAAGTCCATTCCTCCCAGTCCTGCACAGACCATGGAAGAAGCAAGATATGAGTTGCCCTGCTGAGAAAGGTACCGAGCCATGTGGCTAACATAGATAAGAATAATGGGTTAATATAAGTGATAAGAGCTAATAAGAAGCCTGAGCTAATGGGCCATTCAGTTTATAACTTATGGAGACTTCTGTGTGATTGTCTTTGGGACTTGCCGGCTGTGGGAACTGGGTAGGACAGAAACCCCAGCTAGCAGGGCCTCATGTTACAGATATTGACTAAGACCACAGCATCCTGCCTGTCTCTGTGGCTTGGCAGACTTGGTGTGGGCTTCAGGGATGCTTACCCCCTCCCACTACTGTCATACCCAACTGAGATGGGTCTGTGGTCTGTGTCTGCAGCACATTTTGGAAGGTGATTGTTACATATGATAGGATGATGGGGGCTGTCTGCAAACAGGAAAACCAACAGCTGAAACCACACACATTTGTTATCTGGTGACATTTCCTTGGAAGACAAATATATTGCTGAATTATCAAAAATTCATTCTTTCTAGATGTGTTCTAGGGGCCGCTCTCCCATCACTGTTCTGTAGCAATAGTCTCTGCTCTTTCTAGAAAGGAATGATGTGGAAGGTCTTAGTATTACTCCATCTGTGACACACACACACACACACACACACACACACACACACACACAAAGCTGGTTTCTGTTCATGCTCTCTTATTCCACTATAAACCCCTCCTATCTTCCAGCATCATGAAGATTCTTCATGGTGAGGGACCAAGCAGGCCATGCTTAGCCCTGTGTGCTCCCCCTCCCTACACCTAAAGCCTTCTACCTGATACTGCATGGCTGGCTGAAACAACCCTTTTCAGAAGCACAGAAGCTCTTGGTTGTCCTCTCCCTCCAAGACCCTGCCCCCAGGTGCCAGGGTCACAGAGCAGGGTTCACGAGGCCAGGTCACTCAATGGTCAGTGAGGCTGCCCCTGAGCATAAACCTGCTGGGACATAGCTCACAGGTGGTCTCCCATCCAGCCAGCAGGCTATCCCTGGTGGCCATTCCATGCTGAGCTCCTGCTTCTGAGTTTGCCTGGGTCTGCAGACACGATGGCTGCACATGGATAGCTCACAGGATCATCAGCTCTGCAGCTCACAATTTTAGGGCTAGTGTTTGAGGGCAGCTCAGCAGAGCTGGCTCCAGCTGTAGGGGATCACCCAGATCTTCTTGAGGTTAGTTACTGTGGTCTCAGCCTCATGGTGACAGGACCCCATCCCAACCTCTCCTACACAGCTCAAGTTAGGGCAGTTGCCACTTGACACTCTAGACATGGAAGTGCACTTTGCCTGGAGGGCCTTGTCACTAATACACTATTGTAGCCAAGGTGTCACACACTTATTCAGCAGAGACGTTATTTCTTGCTCTCTGTTGTCTCACTTAATGGAATATTGGCTGCAGATACTGTGCTGAAGTATAATGACACATGAGCATGAAAAATGCTCTCATGAAATCCATTATTTTATTGCCAACTTGAAAGATAAATAAAAATTAAAATTCTTGTTTAAGAATTGATAAAAATAATTTACAAATCAGAGATGAATCCATGAATGTTTTAAACCATGAATATAATATTAAAAAATTGTGTGAAACTCCCAGAACAAATTCTAGTTCAATAAAGCTATATACAAACATGGACTGGAGAGGGATGGCTCAGTGGTTCGAGCACTGGCTGCTCTTCCAGGGAACCAGGGTTTGCTTGCTAGCACCCACATGGCAGCTCACAACAATCCTGAACTCCAGTTCCAGAGTACCTGATCCCCTCTGCCGGTCATCATGGGCACTGCACACTCCTGGCACACAGACAGACATGCAGACAGACATTAAGTAAATATTGAAAATACAAGAGAGAGAAATACAAACCCAAGCAGCAGAGGGAAAGACCTAGATGACATATAAGACTTAACCCTCCTGATTACAGAGCCAGTGGGGGAAGGGACGAAGGGATCCACAATAGCAGTATAAAAGGTGCCTATGCTTAATCAGCATGCCTGCCACTCTGGGCTGATGCCTGACTTTTCAGAGCCTTAGAATAAAAAGTCCTGCTCTTACTCCCGGGCCTCCGGTGCTTTTGTTTTTTTTTTTTTAAATGAAGTGAGGTGAGGGTCCACATGTTACATTTAGTTTGGCAAGTAGCAGAGCAGCATTTTGTTTGGTCCCCTTTCTACTTTCTTTTTGTGGTTGGTGGTACTAATAATTCGCCCAACACATTTTCTGGTCATTGGGTTCGCCGATCCTTTGTGGTGTGCCACTGAGATTTGCTTTTCTTACTTATTGAATCTGTGGCTCCCTAGCACAGTTACTGTAGGCCAACAATCCACAATCTTTTGCTTTTATTTATATCACATTAGACAAAGGCTAGGCCTCCCTCCCTCTTCCTTCATTTGTTTTTCGAGACAGAGTCTTGATGTCCATAGCCCAGGTTGAACCTCCTTGTCACAGCCTCTGAGTGTGGAGGGCTGGGATTTCTCTGGTGGATTCCACCACACCCTCCTAGAGGTCTTCACTGATCCTTCATGTGGGCTTCCTCCATCGGCGACACAGTGAAGACTCATTCTACAGATTTCCTCTGCAGTAACCTCTTAGGCACCCAGCTCTGGAATCTTATGGAATACCTAACCACCGAATCTGTGGATGCCACCTCCCTTTCCAGGCCTCGACGGAGCCTCAGGTAGAATAAGGGGATGCCAAAGATCTCTGGAGAGAACTTAGGGGTGGTAGGTAGGTGTTGTGAACTCCTCCAGAGACGTGACTGTCATTCTGACAAGGGTCCTCACGTGCATGCTGGACACAGAGGGACACTGAGGACTGCTGCTCCTCAGTGGCTACTGGATGAGACCAGTCTGTATGGTTCATGGTGTCTCTAGGTCTCAGCTTGGATGTCACTGCCACAGTTGCCCAAGAATTACAGAGGCAGTATGACAAAGATTGGAAGTCCATGTCCACACATGATCTAACATTATAGAATGACCACTGTAGGGCCTGACCTCCAGGCTGGGACATTTGGAATAGGTCTCTTCTTAGCTGCCCCCAAACCACTCTGGGATTGAGTGGAGGGCAGGGTGATTGGACAAGATCCTAGGAGAGCAGCCTGGTCAGCACGACACCTATGTGGCCACAAAAGAAGGACCCACAAGCCTTTCTGGGCTCATGCATTCCAGGCTATGATGGATTTCCAACATCAATCTTTGTTGGGGGAGGCCAGCCAAAGGGCCCAAGAGCCAAAGATTTGTGGCTGGCCATGTCCCACAGCCCCAAGGGTCTGTGACTCATATGTTGCTGACTGTCACAGTTGCCATCTCAGGAGTATGCCATCTGTGTGCGCATGATAACTGACTTGTATAATCAGGCATGCCCAGAGATGGTTACAAATATCACCCTTGAGAGCCCGAGACCTTTAGCTACATCATTTCCCACTCACCCTAACCTCATGCTCCCCTTCCCAGTTGTCCAGTTGAGCACTGTCCCTTTCTGGTCCTGGATGTCCCCAGATACTCCATGAGTAGCTACAAGTCATATCTAATGGGTCAGCACAATCAAAGATCTGTCTTTTTCAGCTAGACCTGAGACCAAATGTCCTGCCCACACAGGACAGAGAAACC